TTAGCAAAGAGCAGGCTTAGACTAGGCTGTGGTTTACTCTCCTTGGTGGTTATTTATGGTTCTTCTGTTGTGCTTATTCTAAAGTCTACTATCGTTTGAGCAAATTTACTTTCAACTCTCCACTGAGTTCACCAAAGACAAGTAATCCTCCTGCAACTGGCAGGGCTGAAGACTAATCCACCCGATATGCAATTAAGCATATCCCAAGGTTCAGCTGCTATGCTACAGTTTACATTCATTACAGCCATTTAGCAAGGTTCTGCTGCTTATGCCCAGCTCTGGATAGGGATTTGTGTTCTTCATTAGTATTCTGGTGCCAGTGAAGATGCTGGGGCATATTCCACTATCAGGTTGAATCATAGTATTATGAGATTATGGCTGCAAATTTCACCCTTCTGCTGCTAGTGGAGCCCTCTAGGAATAGGCCTGTTCAAGCAGCTGCGCCAGTTTTTGACGGGAAAGCTGGAATGAGTTCCCTGTAAGGAGCATAAACCAGCATGGGTTAGAATGGTCATACAATTTGAAATTAGGGATTCTATCTTGAACCAGGACCCAAAACGGGTACATATAAGTATAACTTGAAATTCACCAATTCAACTTTCTGCCTGCTGATGTGGCGAGGGAAGAAGGCTATCATCCCTGCTGTCACATCTAAGACAGGGTCTCCTAAGGAACCAGAACAGCTATGGAAGCTCTTCAATAGAGGGCCAAGCTTCAAAACAACTGGTGAGTCTCCATGGAGTCATGTGAGCAATGGGAAACTCACCAACTGTGTGGTAACGAGAGATTCAAATACCAAGCACTCCAGAGGCTTCAGATTTGTCACCTGACAAATGTGGAGTGACAGTGGGGGTGGATGCAAATATGAAAGCAAGACCACACAAAATGAATGAGGAGTTGTATAACAAGAGAGAGCCTGTGTCAAGAAAAGACTCTCAAAGACCAGGTGTCAACTTAACTGTGAAAAGATCATTGTTGGTATTGGAGAAGACACCAAAGAACATGACTTCTGACATTATTTCACTTTTGATGACCATGGCTCAGTGACTGAGGCTGTCATTCAGAAATATATTGTAAATGGCTATAGCTATGAAGTAAGAAAGGGCCTGTAAAAGCAAGAGATGGCTAGTGCTTCATCCAGGCAGAGGTCAAAGTGAATCCAGAAACTTTGTTAGTTGTCTTGTAAGTGATTTTGGTGGCAGTGACAATTTTGATCACAGTGGTCTTCAGTGGCCATGGTGGTCTTTGGTGGCAGCCATGGTGATAGAGTGTATTATGACAATGTAGGTGGTTATAATGAATGGCAATGATGGAAGCAATCTTGGAGATGTTAGGAGCTATAGTGATTTGTGAAATTACAACTATTAGTCTCCAGATTTTGGAGCAATGAAGGGAAGAGATTTGAAGGCAAAAGTTCTAGCCCTTATGTTGGTGGCAGCCAAATTTGTTAAGTCACAAAACCAAGGTGGGTATGGTAGTTCCAGCATCAGTAGCTGAAATGTTCTAATTCTTGCCAAGAATTAGGAGCCTGTCATGAAGAGAGCCAGAGAGTGACAGGGAAACCACAGATTACGACATATGTGTGAATTCAACCACGCATAGTGGTGGTGAGGCCTGGAGTTTATAAAGAGAATATGTTTTAGACAGTTCTTATGCATACGGGCAAAAAACCCTTCAGATCAATATTTCTGACTAATTGAATAACTAGTTATTTCAGTTTCTGTCCTGTGGAAAGTGTAAAACACTTTATTGTATACTTTTTTCACCCATACTGTTGACTGCTAATTACAATAGTCTGATCATGATGCTGAATACCATGATACCTTCTTTTCTTTTTCTTTAAACCAGGGTTTCATATTTATTTCAATAGTTTAGCAAATATATACACACACATGTATACGTAGATAGTGTTATATATACATATGTGAAAATTAAGACACAAAACACAGTAAAACACTGAAACTGGGAATCTAGCAAAAACAGTTTAGAAAAGTTTATTGTACCTCCTGGCTACTTTGCTGTAGCTTTGGGATTTTGAACACAAGGACACATATTTCAATAACCAAATAAAGCTAGTTTACACTGTTTACAAGTAGAAACACTGGCAATAAAGTGATAATTCAGAACAATGGAATTTTGGGAAAGATAAGCTTATGAAGCAGAACCTCACAGGAACTCCTGAAACTACAAGTATCTCCACTCAAATATGAATGTTGAATTTTCCTTTCTGGTTATTAATTATATGGCCTACACATTTTTCTTGAGAATATACTTCCAAACTAGGAAAAGGTTAGAAAAAAACTGGAATGAAGTATATGAAATATTTTAAATTTTTCATTGATTTGCTGTGAGTTTCACATCATGCACCCCAATCCCATTCATCTCCCTGTCCCTTTGTATATGACATCTGCCCTTGCAACCTCCCTGCCAAGAAATAAGATAGAATTTTTTAAAACCAACAACAAAAACCCCATCTTGTCATGGAAGCTGTCTGTAGTGTGTCAGTGTCACACAGTATACCCTTTTGTACACACATCTTTACTTGCAAAAGTTCATTACAATGAGTCATTGATCTGTTTCAAGGCCTATGGCTTCTGCTATAGTATGAATGCTGGATCCCCACCAGGACTCCTCTGAGATAATCTGTTGTTAGTATCATGGAGATCCTTCAGCTCTAGATCTGTAGGACTAGACCTTTCATGTGCTCCAGCAGTTCATAGATGAGGTAGATGTTGGGATGGGTCAACTCAAACCCATGAATATGGGCCTGGATGGTAGCTAAGTTGCCACCAGCCCTCCTGCTCCCATACCTCCAGGGCTAGCTCTCCAGAACTATTTGAGTATCTTTCTTTTGGTCACCAAGGCAAGCTGTCCCTGGGAAGACACTTCTATAAAATACTTTTGAAGAACATCACTACACATGATTGTGTGTGTGTGTGTGTGTGTGTGTGTGCACACGCGCGCTTGCGCGCGGACACACACACACACGTGCATAAAAATAAACTATTTTGCCTTGCAAAACATAAGGAGAATTTTGCTAAGGAAGTCACACATGTAAGGTCAGGCTACAGAAATGTACTCTGAGCTAATTATCTTAGTTTTCCATGGACAGCTGATACAATCATCAATTCTCAACACTGGATAGTTTGCTATTAGGTGATGTATTTCTCTAAACAATACCATAGATTATACAACAGGCTATAGTGTTTCACATATATTCTGTACATGCAGCTTAAATGTTACAGTGAAAACCTGGAAGTTTATATTACTCAAATGTTATAAAAATTCATTTATGAGACCTGTGCCAAGTCATGTTGCCTTTCTGGGAACTCATCATCAGATCACTAAATGCCGTCATTTTTAAATGTGCCATGTCAAGTTAGTCTACTCTGAAGCCATCTTGGTTACCTTTTCCAACAGTCTGAAGTTAGAATTCCTTCATGGTAATGCCATGTTCCATTTGAAATTTCCTTATGAATGTTTGGATTAAGAAGCCATTATCTTTAGAAATCTTAGTGTAGTTAAACTGCTAAGTTACTGTTGTGATATTAATGAGTTTTGCCATTCAAAGGGTCATCCAAACAACTCATAGAATTATTTGGAGCAGTCTCAACTAACCAGAACCCCTGAGATCTCTCAAACACTGATCCACTAACTAGGCAACATGCATGAGCTGATCTGAGGCCACCAACACATATACAGCAGAGGACTGCCGTGTCTGGCCTCAGTGGGAGAAGATGTACCTAACCATCGAAAGACTTGAGGCCCCAGGGAGTGGGGAGGCCTGGCAATGGGGTGGGGACCTCCTCTTGGAGACAGGGGAAGGAGGAATAGGATGAGGAATTGTAGGAGGGTGGACCAGGAGGAGGGGTAATGACTGGACTGTAAAAAAAAAATAAAGGTAATAAGAAATTGAGTGAGGTAACCCAATCACAAAAGAGCACACATGGTATGCACTCACTGATAATTGGATATTAGCCCAGAAGCTCACAATACCCAAGATACAGCTCATAGACCACATGAAGCTCATGAAGAAGGAAGATCAAAGTGTGGGTGCTTAGGTCCTTCTTAGAAGGAATAACAAAATATTCATGGGAGAAAATATGGAGACAAAATGTGGGACAGAAACTGAAGGAGGGGCTATCCAGAGACTGCTCCACCTGGGTATCCATCCTATGTGCAGTCACCAAAGGTAGACGCTGATGTGGATGCCAGGAAGTGCATGCTGACAGGAACCTGATATAGCTGTCTCCTTAGAGGTCTGCCAGAGCCTGATACATACAGAGGCAGATGCTCACAGCTAACCACTGAAATGATCATGGATTTCCCAATGGAGGAGTTAGAGAGAAGACTGAAGGAGCTGAAAGGGTTTGGGGCCCCATGGGAAGAACAACAATACCAACCAACCAACCAGAGCTCCTAGGGTCTAAACCGCCAGCCTGGAAGCACATATGGCTCCAGCTGTATATGTAGGGGAGGATGGCCTTGTCTGGCATAGGTGGGAGAAGAGGTTCTTGGTCCCATGAAGGCTGAATGCCCCAAAGTGGGGGAATTTGAGGGCGGGAGGTGGGAGTAAGTGGATGGGTGGGGGGCACATCCTTATAGAAGCAGGAGGAGGGGTGATGGGATGGGGGTTTCTGGGTGGGGGGAAATGGGGAAAGGAGATAACATCTGAAATGTAAATAAAATATCCAATAAAAGTAAAAAAATAAAAAATGAAAGAATAAAGAAACAAATAAGCACCAACAAAAAAAATAGTTGTTTGCATATCCTATTCAATATCAAAACTGAATGATGGAAAAAGATGAAATAATAGAAAGGAATGTAACTTGTGTATCATCCATTGTCATGTATCAAGGACAAAGGACACAAAACAGTGGTGAAGGATGTCATACAATTTATCAGATGGGATAGAGTCTTGAGGATGCTTTTGGTAATGATGGAAAAAGGGAATGAGTCAATAAACAACTAGGTTGCTCATTTCAAGATCTGCTAACTAGCCCCCCTAGCAATGGGCAAAGAGACACCTTGGTGGTGGTGGTATTCTTATATCAGTCAGGGGCAGAGCAGAATGCAGTTCTTTGTTTATCCTCGCTTGATGCCTGGCTTGGTGGCCAAAACTGTCTTATACCTAGAGCTCATAAAAGTCAAATCAAATCAAATCCACACAGGAGGAGAAAGATAGAGACCTGTGGACCACTATGCTATCCATAAACTTGTCCTCCAGTGTTCATGGCACAGGCAGGCCATAAACACCCACTTGTCATCATGCCATGAAGCACAGGGACCTACTAGCTGTGTGGCCAGCCTGCAACAGGAGCCACATGCACCACAGTATGTGAGCATGTGGTGGTCAGATGGGAGAGAAAGAGAAGTGGAGCAGCTTGAGCACTGGGAAGAGAGATGGAACTGGAGATTCAAGGGTAGAGAGAAGTAACTTGTGAGTGGCCAGCCCTGCCACCTGGGGACATGGTGAGGTCCCAACATGAGCTACCACTGAGGGCCATGTCTGAGTCCATGGCTATGCAGAGGCAGTGGCATGTGTCGATATCCATGGCTCATATTATCACTAGAGAACATGGGAACCCCTCTGGTTGAGGGGTTGTGAGATGCATGAGCCATTGAGGATCATGTGGATATCTAGGAAGCTGTGCATAATTTGCTCCACCCCTCACTAGATATGACACTCTGGAGAGCTGTCTCCATCTCTCACCAGCAGCAGCACTTGGGAGAATAGGCTCTGTACCTCACCCAGGCAGCACAGTGCTGACCCTGGTGGCACAGTTATGGGTGAGTCAGCCCTGAGGGTGTGAGTGTGGGAGAACTGATCACATCACTTGTCTGCTGTGAGATGGGCATGGGTGCAGGAGGGATGCCTTCCCCCACTTGCCCCTCACCCATTGTAGTAGTCTGGCAATCTAGCCTCAGGATCATGAAAGTGGGAGAGCTGTCCCTGCTCCTCATTGGATGCAGCACTTGGGAGTGCAGGCCCAGCACTTCATCTTGGAGAAACAGTAGTACTGCTGGACTGGTCAAGGGGGAACAGATAAGCCAGTCCTTATCACAGAGTAAGGAAGAGCTGACCCTGCCACTCATCTGTCATGAGGTGGCATGGGTGCAGGGATGATGCCTTTCCCCTCTTGTCCTTCACCACTTGCAGCAGTTGGGAGATTGGGCCCCAGGACCATGAGAGCAGGAAAGCTGTCCCTGCCCCTCACCATCTGCAGCACTCAAGAGAGGGCCTCGGTGACTGGGAATACAGGTTAGCCAATCCCAAGGGTGACAACTTGGGAGAGTTGGCCCCCCCACTTGTCTCCAGAGAGATGTCATGCATGGGTGTGGAAATGATGCCTTGCCCCTCCTGCACCTTACTACCTGTGGCTGATAGGAGAGCTGGCCCTGAGGTCATGAGAGCCAGTGAGATGGCTCTGTTCCCCTCCTGCTGCAGCACTCTGGAGAGTGGAACCTGCACCTTGACTAGGTAAATTTTATCATAGATGGGAAATCAGAGTTTTATATTATAATCTATTTATAATTTAAGAGATCTTTCAGCTGGTATGGGAATTATATATTTAGATGAATTTAGTATTGAGTTAAAATAAATATAAACCAGGGCTGGAGAGATGACTTCATGGTTAAGAGCATTGCCAAGTTTGGTTCCCAGAGCCCATGTCATGCATCTCACAACTGTCGAGCTCTGGGGAGCTCCAACAGCCACTTTTGGCCTCAGTGGGTACCTGCACATACATGGCATACATTCACAGAGACACATGCAAACACACAATTAAACATAAAAAAAATCTTAACAAAACTAAAAAGATGAATATAAACCAGACTACAAGCCTACAATACTGGTGCATGCCTATAATCCCAGTAGTTGGGATGATGAGACAGGAAGACCAGGAGTCCAAGACAGGCCATGGCTACAAAGCAAGTTTGAGGCCAGCCAATGCTACATAGGACCCTGACCTACAAACAGACATAATAAAGATGAATTAAACAGACCAGAACAGTATGCCCTCTAAGAACCCCAACAGACTCCAGGGCAAAGTCTCTTCTTACTATAATCTTCAGGGTTGTTTAGGGCCTCCACAACTTTGCTGTCATGTCACTTTCCCCTTGCATCAGCATCCAGCCAGGCAGACTTTGGTGCTGTTCCCTGTACTTGGCAGATTTGGAGCCCCACACAGTTGCTATTCACTAGGCCAAAGTGCTCTTTCCCTGAACATTCACACTGCTCTTGCCTTTGCTTAATTTATGACTTCAGACAAATAGAGGCCTTCCTTAAACATGGACTTTACTATGCCATTCCGAATCAGTCTTCTTGTCTTTATAAATGTAGTCATGTATTATCTGACATATGGTCAGTAAAACTACCTGAGAGCAAGAACTTTGTTTTGCTCCTCAACATATCCTTAGTGCATAGCACCAAGTCTGAAATACAAAAGGTACTGGAGTGGATATCAAATGAGTAAACTGATATATTATACTATAAAATACATAACCACAAAGGAACCCTAAGAAGAAAATGTGTTATTACAGTATTGGCTTGGGGATGTTAGCTCAGTGGTAGAACACTTGCCTATATGTACAAGGCCCTGGGTTCATGCATAACAACAACAAAAGCCTTGAACATATAGCAGAATGGAATTTACAACTCAATTGTGAGAGAACTTATGAATCTTATTTTTATAGGCAAAGGGGAACGTTTCTAGTTGTTTTCTAGAGGGCTTTTGCTTGACAATTGTAATGTTTAATGCAAGTAAATAATGACAGTTAATCAACTGAAACTATATCAATACTTGAGAATTTTGTTTTTAGTAAGTATCAGATTTGCTAGTGTGGGTGGAAATGCTGTCTGAAAATAAGCTTTGAGGAACTTTTAATTACTGAATCTATTGGTTGAGTTGACTCCTTTGTAGGTAGGCACCATAAAGCTTGTTTCTTGGTATGTGGCTTTCTTCTGCATTTCCAATCTAAGACTGGGAGCATCTTATAAAACACTGAATGGAGATGATAAACTGGCTGTGAGGAGATTATGAGCTGTCTTTCACTATGATTAATGAGGTTTTGATTCCAAAGGTTAACAAAGATTCGATTTGGTTTATGTGTAGTTTTCCATAGTCATTCTGAACTGACAGCTAAATATGCAGCCTCGTTGTTGGCACCCTTTATGGGTAGGTGCAGCTGGATGAAACTCAGCCACAAAGGAGATCCCTGTGTTATCATTAATGATGACTTTGTGTAACAGATGTTGTCTACATATTAGGCAGGCTGCTTAATTTGTCTTTTGCAAACATGAAGCCTCTTGAAACTACAATGTACTACACACTGTCTGAAATTTTCCATTCTTTTGTAACACACTCCTCCTTCAGAAGAGCAGCAGTTTACAATTCAAAGAACAAAAGAGAGACTCAAATGAAGAAATGTTATGTTCTTAACATTTGTGTTCATCATGATTACAAAGAGAAAAAAGAGGAAAAAGGCATTATGGGAAAAATACAAGTATTAAAAACAAAAGTCCAAATGAATAGGTGCTGAGCAACTGAGGAGATGTGTTCTGCCTCCTGTGCAGTTCCACATGCAGTGTCTCCATTATTTTACTGCTTAGGATAATAGAATAGGTGACAAAGAGTTAGAAATTTTGCCTATAAGTTAGGGAAAAACTTCATCTCTCCCATTATCTGGTTATATCTGTCTTATTTTTACGGAAAGGACCAGTAATTTGTTAACTACAGTAAGTGCCAGTTTTCCACAAACCCCTCTTCCACAGTAATGATACCATATACCATATTTTCTCTTTGCTTTTTAAATAAAAATGCACATAAATTCCACTTTTATTTTGGACTAGCAAAAGAAATCGCCATCTGTATCAATAAATTAATCAGTTCCATATTTCCCTCACTAAATAAAAGGTTACCTTCATAAAACCATAAGAAGGTTGTAGGCAAGAGTGTTGGTATAAACATACCTGTAACCACAAAACTCAAGTTGCTGAAGCAGGAGGATCCAGAACTCCGAGCCAGACTGATCTGCATAGTAAGACTCTGCACAGAATAAAACTACATCTGAAGGAATTATACATTTTGCAAACATTTGAAAAATTTATCAAAAGCTTAAAAATATTTAAACATGACCCCAAACTTGAAATGTATTCTTAATAGTTAAAAGAATAAAAATCTAGATCATAAAAATATACTTTTTAACAGCATAAAAATAAACAAATGCACATTCTTATGTCATGTCACATTGAAATAAATTATTATCTAATAAATGACTCTTTAGCCATCAAAATTATAGATATGACAACTACATAATAACATGGTAATTATATTTCATATTAAATGGGAACAATGCAAAATTGTACATGTGTATAATGACTTATAACCAGGATCTGGGACGGATGCTATGGATCCTGGTTTCCTGTGTCCCAGACGCTGCTCAGGACCTCAAGGAGTTGGGAATGGGGGTCCACAGGTTCATGGATCCATGCTTCCCCTAGGCTTTCTTTGGGAGATTTAGGGTACAGCTCTTTATAATGAAGGCCTCCTCCATCTATGTCGATCCTTGACAAAGGAGACAGTTCTTGCTTGTCCAAATTGCTTTACTTGATGATGGATGTGAAGGCATACATCTTAATCAGGGTGAACCAGGGATTAAACACCCTTTGCAGAAAGAAATGCCCAGAAAGGAAAGCTCATTGGCTAAACACTGGAGGCCTATATAGATACCTCATCAGCATAGCAGGTTTTGATGCTATGTGACTGATTGTCATGGTCCTCTCAGTTGGGTGTCATGGTTACATGTTGCAGATCAAGTAGTTTGCTAGGGAGCTGGCTCATGCCTGCTGTCCTCAATTCTGAGATATTCCAGGGTTTAGGCTTACTCAACTTAACCAGTTCTTCTGTCTGGTGGAACAGTCCACTTGTCCCACAGGTAATATGCATTTCTCAGAAGGTACCATGTTTATGTCCCAAAGAAATTGAATTCTTACCTAGATCATGTGTAAGCACAGCTTAAAGATGCTTCAGACTTTCAAGGAGAAATAAAGCAAGTACCAGATTTTAGACAAGGGTGCTAGAAACTGTTATAAACACTACCTTACTTCATTCTCACAACAATTCTTTCTTCTCTCCCCCCACCT